TATGCAGCTATATATATATATATATATATATATATATATATATATATATATATATATATATATATATATATATATATATATATATATATATATATATATATATATATATATATATATATATATATATATAGTTTTCGTTTTACCTCAAAAAACCACAACAGTCTGTTTCATCCGTATATGATTCCTATACGGATGAAACAGCCTGTTGTGGTTTTTTGAGGTAAAACGAAAAAACTATATTACGCTCTATCTATATGGTGTTGAGCACTGTTTGTGTTTTGTAAACCAAGACCTTAAGCTATATATATATATATATATATATATATATATATATATATATATATATATATATATATATATATATATATATATATATATATATATATATACATATATATACATATATATATATAGTTTTTCGTTTTACCTCAAAAAACCACAACAGTCTGTTTCATCCGTATAGGAATCATCAGGTGGTATGACTCCTATACGGATGAAACAGACTGTTGTGGTTTTTTGAGGTAAAACGAAAAACTATATTACGCTCTATCTATATGGTATTGAGCACTGTTTGTGTTTCGTAAACCAAAATCTTAAGCTATATAATATATATATATATATATAATATATATATATATATATATATAATATATATATATATATATATATATATATATATATATATATATATATATATATATATATATATATATATATATATATATATATATTATTATTATTATTATTATTATTATTAAAAATTTTATTTCAATACGGTGGTTACATCAAAATCATATACAGTTTTGTTCTACCTGTAAGCCGTATATTATAGTTTGCAATATATATTAATTTAATTAATTAATGATCAGCGGAAAAATGGATATTTTTTTAAAAGATCTTTGAACCGCTTTAATGAACTCTCTTTTTTCAAAACTTCAGGAAGAGAGTTCCACACTTTTGCGCCGGAGTAAACAAAACTTCTCTTGTAATATTCAGTTCGAATTAGTGGAAGTTCGACATTCTCTGTTGAAGAACGAAGATCATAAAAATTGGCACCAGTTTCTGGTCTAAATAAACCTAAGAAACATGACGGTGCTTTATGGTTTAATATTTTATCCATCATCACTGCTTTGCATTTTTGTCTTCGTTCACTCAACTTCTCCCATCCTAATTCGTTTAATATATCACTGGACCTTCGCGAATAGTCGGCTCCAGTAATAATACGTGCTGCACGATTTTGAAGTTTTTGAAGCTTTA